ATAAAATGATTATGAATTTTAAGATCACTTAAGAATTTAGCTTCGATCTCATTATTAATAAAGTAAAAATGTATGTAAAACTGTACTCCCTCCGTCTGGAAATATTCTTCCCGTGTTGACTTGGCACGCTTATTAAAGAATAGTAAAAAAAATGCAAAATTTTCAAAAATGCACATACTATAAACTTTTAAATCTCCTTTTATTATTAAAAAAGTATTAAAAAAGTAGATTTGTGATAAAATAGAAGGGTATTATTGATATTTAGCCTTAAAAAGCATACTAAAAAAGGAAATGAGAAGATTATTTTCGGACGGACCAAAAAGGAGAATGGGAAGAATATTTCCGGACGGAGGGAGTAAAGGTAAACATAGAATAACTTACGGTTAGAGATAAAGTTATACCGAATAATTTTATCCTACTCCATGAATTTTAGCATTTTAACACATTGCTAACGTGACATTTCGTGAGATAAATGGGAGTAGTTTTTTTCTTTTGGTACTCGAGCTCTCGAAGTAGTCTTTAATCTTTTTATATAGAGCTTTTTAATTCAAACATGTACCTTTATCTCCTTCAAAAGATATTCTTTACTTGTTCATATTTTATTTTGAAAATATTTTATACAGAGTACAACATAAAATTTTCTATTGAATGTTTTTGACGGTTTTCTAATACGGAGTACATAGTACTACTAATGCTAGAAAGCCATCAAGTTTGCCACCAAATGTTTTACAAACATATACAGATAGTCATTATCTATGACGCGTAAATAATATTATATGTGTGTAACTATGAAACACTTGACAATTGACATCAAATTAAATCCTTGTTGTCAAACATGGTAGCTTTCTAGCATTTTTTAATACTAGGCATATATTATAGTTGTTTACGAATTATTTTTTGTGCCCTTTTGTCTTTTAAAAAAGTTATCTAACAAGATTGTTTATTAGTTTTAAGTTTTTTTTAATTATATTTACATCATTAAAAATTTTCCAAATGAGTTAATGGTGTGTTTGGAAATTTGAATTTAGATTTCAAATCTGGATTTAATCCAAATTACTTGTATGCGAACTCAAAGAATTTTGATTTAGAACAAATTTTTCTAATTCAAAATTAAGCCAATTACAAATCTACACCTCTCCCCATTTCATTTTCGAATTCAAGCTCAACTTCTCTTTAATTTATAACTTGTAATTAAATAGTTAATCTCATCTTATGCAATAACAATTCCATACATGTCAACCGGCTTCCATTACCGTCTTTGCCGACTTCAAAACTCAAATTTCTACGACATCCCAGACAATATTTGGAATTTGAAATTATGAGATTTCAAATATTCGAATTGAATCTAAGATTTTAAATGATTCCTAGTTGCCAAACACTACCTTGGTGTATTTGGAAACATGAATTTGGATTTCAAATCCAGATTTGATTCAAATTATTTGTTTGAGAACTCAAAGAGTTTGGATTTGAAACTGGACCAAAATCTTCTAATGCAAAATTAACTCAACTACAAATTAAAACCTTTTCCCATGTCATTTACAAATTCAAGTACAACTTTCTTTAATTTAGAACTTGTATTTAAAGAGTGAACTCCCTTTATGTAATAACAATTCCATAAATATCAATCCACTTCCGTAATCGTCTTTGCTCACTTCAAAATTCAAATTTTAGAATTCAAATTCTACGACTTCCCAAACAACATTAGAATTTGAAACTATGGAATTTCAGATGTTGGAATTTAAATCTAATATTTTAAATGAATTCTAGTTTCTAAACACTACCATATTTAATTCGTAGAACTTAAGATCCATTTAATAATTCATAGACCTTCAGCTACATAACCATCATTCCTAATATTATGATAACTACAACCAGGGGCGGACCCACGTTGAGTCATACGGGGTCACGCGACCCCACGGAAATTTTATAATTTTATATATATACATATAGGTATACGTACTTAGTAATAATATATTTTTAAAAAACGCATTAGGAAAGAATAGAACTAGTAGCCTGAGTGGAAACCGCGAGCTCTCTAGCCTGTAGCATTCTGTGTTCGACTCTGTTTGAGGGTTCTTTTTTTTTGCTTTTTCGAAATCTCCCCACAAAAGCTCTTTTTTTTGTGTATTTTTTTCTTGAACTTCTTCCTCTAAAAGAGACGTTTCTTAAAACATAGTTGAATGTGAATTGTGAATTTTAAAATTTATTTTTTTTTTCAATTTGTATATTGTGAATTAGATTTATATTTTGCAAGCATTTTTTTGTTGTTTAGTTTCTATTAGCATGATTGAATGAGAATTGGATATTTGGATTTGTGATTTGTGAACTGTGAATTTTTAAATTTATTCTTTTCAATTTGTAATTTGTGAATTACATTTACATTTTGTAAGATCATGAATATGTTAAAATGAGGGTTCTTTTTTTTTTGCTTTTTCGAAATCTCCCCACAAAAGCTCTTTTTTTTGTGTATTTTTTTCTTGAACTTCTTCCTCTATAAGAGACGTTTCTTAAAACATAGTTGAATGTGAATTGTGAATTTTAAAATTTATTTTTTTTTTCAATTTGTATATTGTGAATTAGATTTATATTTTGCAAGCATTCTTTTGTTGTTTAGTTTCTATTAGCATGATTGAATGAGAATTGGATATTTGGATTTGTGATTTGTGAACTGTGAATTTTTAAATTTATTCTTTTCAATTTGTAATTTGTGAATTACATTTACATTTTGTAAGATCATGAATATGTTAAAATGATTGAGTTTTGTTGTAAATTTATAATGCTCTTAATTATATAAATTTCAATGNTTTTTTTTCAATTTGTATATTGTGAATTAGATTTATATTTTGCAAGCATTCTTTTGTTGTTTAGTTTCTATTAGCATGATTGAATGAGAATTGGATATTTGGATTTGTGATTTGTGAACTGTGAATTTTTAAATTTATTCTTTTCAATTTGTAATTTGTGAATTACATTTACATTTTGTAAGATCATGAATATGTTAAAATGATTGAGTTTTGTTGTAAATTTATAATGCTCTTAATTATATAAATTTCAATGCAGGAAACAAAGGTATTAAGTATTATAATAAATCACTTTCAAAATATGAAAACTAGACTTTCAAATATGTATTTTATATTTTTAATGAAAGAGTATTATTAATTTGTGATTTTACAATATATGTGAATTTTAATATTATACTTCCTCCAATTCTTAATGTCCTTCCCATTTGGACTTTAAGAGAATTAAGAAAGAGATATATTTGTCTTGACTTTCCAAAAATATTCTTAATGAGATGACTAAAAATAGGATATGATGGATTGATGGTAGATTATTAATAAAAATGTATGATGCAATAGG